TGTGAAAGGGGAGGTGGGTGGGGGGATGGGGTAACCAGGTTACCGGCACTGAGGGGAACTTGATAGGATGAGCACGGGGTGTTATACTCTATGTTGGCAAATTGAATTTAAATTTAAAAAAAAAGAAAAAAAAGTAATGATGCAAAAAACAGAATTAGAGATTGAGAATGAGAGGAGATAAAAGTATTGCATTTAGTTTACTTATAATTTTCCTCTAACAAAATGGCAATTATATGTGAATATAAGTTAAAATATTTTTCATATGTGTATTTTACTATGTATATACTCTATCTTTCATATATAAATGTGCATATCCTTTAGGTCATTTTACTCACATTCTTTAAATAATGTAAAAATTTTATTAGAAGTGTTAGATTAAATACACCTCACTTTCTGACACTTTGCTTGACTATTAGGATGACAGAATAATTTTTAGAAAATAGCATCAATGAATTATTGAACTGGATTAATCTTACAACCATATATTATGAGCTGGGATGGAACTTATTGGACATCTAGTCTACCAGCCTATTTAAAAAATGAGAAAAACCAGAGAAGCTAAGTGGCTTATCCAGAGAAAGATAATTCATTAATAATAGAGCTAGGATGAGAATCAAGTATTCCGACTTTTAATCCAATGTCCTTTCTCACAAGATTTTTAGAAGCCAGCATAATTACTAGTCATCTAAGATTGACAGCTAAGTTAAGACCAACTAAATCCACAGTTTTGTTTAGTAAGTTAAATATGGTTCTCAAATAAAGGATAAGTATCAGGTAGACACTCTAAGAATTATATTCCAATTCTCTTTTACATATAAATATATTCTTTTATTTTTCTTATTTATATGTTGTATATTTATGTCCAGAGGTAAATACATGAATATATATGTATATTAAACACCTCATAAACACACACACACACATATCTTCTTTCTTATATTTGTTTCACTACAAGGGAACTTAATTTTTTTTCAGTAGTATCTCTTCTGTTCACACAGGATAATTTAGGCTTATAGATACTAACTAAATCCAGGTCACCTAACTGTCTGAATTGTGTTCCCTTTATCCTTCTAATGAAAAGCTAGTTGGAAAGTAACATGATAGACTTTGCTCTTTTCTTGTCCTTCTGACTTAGAAAACTGTTCCTCTCTTGTGACCTCTTTAACAAGTATTCAAATGAAAAAGCCTGATCACTGATGTCTATTTCACATAATTTCCTCAACAGGGGAAATAGAAATATTTTAAAATTAATATCTTGTTTTATTTTAAAGAAAGGCTGTAATGAACTCCCTGATATTAAATCTCAGTTTCATGATTTTTGCATTGACAATTTTTTGAGGTTCTGAGTCCTCTGACCCTTCACTTAGTTACTAAAGATCTACCAATTTTAGGGCTTTACAAATACATTTTGTTTTTAATGCTCTCAATACACTATATTAAGTGAAAAATCAGTATGTAACTTTGTATGAAAAGTACAAACACCACTCTAAGTGGCTTTTTCCTCCTCTTTAAGTACTCTGCATTTTCCAAGTTTTCTACAATGAAGATATATTACTCCCATAATTAGGAAAAATTCTATAATTTAAAAATATGTTTAGAATATAGGTTTTTGTAATTAAATTTCTGCTGAGCAACACATAAATATCCTGTTTTTCTACTATGAATCTCTTCCTAGTCACTTGAAAAGAAAGATACCTAAGGACTAGATAAAAATGAGGAAAGTTATTTCCATGGTAAAAACAAAAATAATTAGCTTTAAGTGCTGAGATTATTAAAACCTCAAAGCTGTGTATCCATTCTCTTCTATATAAAAGGGAGTACTCTTTACTTATGACTTCTTAAAACACACTAAAAAGATAATCTATAAGGTCATGATGATCAATTAGCATTTAATAACTCAATGGACAGTAATAAAACCAAAAGAATTATGAACTAGAATCAGTCATTGCAATCATGTGAAAACAAACAAGTCTCATTTAAGAGAATTATTTTACTACTTTCTTGGAACTACAACTAACTAAATAGACAATTTGAAAATAATTCATTTATACAAGTGAAATATTGACTGAAAAATAATTGGTGGAAAAATTGCCATGTATTCTTAAGTATTCTTATCCTAAGTATTCTTATATAATTGTGATTTTAAAACGTGTTATTTTTTTCAGTAATAGAAATTAAAATTCTTAAGTATTCTTATATAATTGTGATTTTAAAATGTATTATTTTTTTCAGTAATAGAAATTAAAATTAACACTGGGCCAATACTTAAAACAAGGTTAGGCATAATTTTTCAAAAGGCCACTGAATGAATAGGCACTTGAATGAATTAATTAATGAAATAGAATATATTCTCCTAGAAGACAAAATATTTATTCAATCAACACACATTTACTGAGTACCTAATCTGTGAGAGACACAAAGGAGAGTAAGATATTTTGTGTGTTTTCTTTTTTTGTGTGTGTGTGTGCTTTGTGATGCTCATTGCTTAGTATAAATTATTTAAAAAACAAAACAAAACAGTAGTCTGTTCCTGTGCTTGTTCGTTCCACTAAAAGACCACTAAAAGAATGAGCTTTTTGGGATTCCAGAGTTATTTTTGCACATCTCAAGCTTGGTCTCTAATATCCTTAATAAATATATGTGAATTGAACAGTTAGTAAAAAAAAAGATACATCTAGGGAGGGGCACCTGGGTGGCTCAGTCGGTTAAGCGGTTAAGCATCTGCCTTTGGCAGGGGTCATGATTTCAGGATCCTGGGATTCGGCTCAGCGGGGAGCCTATTTCTCCCTCTGCCCCTCCCTCTTCCCGCTCTCTCTCTCTCTCAAAATAAATAGATAAAATCTCTAAAAAAAATACATCTGGAGGAAAAGGTTAATGTGTGTCATGTGAGAAGTACAAATAAAATGTGATGGTTATTCGCAGGAGAGAAAGATTGCATAAGGTAATGTGGGGAAGGGAAATGCACTTGCCTAGAGGATTAAGAGGCATTTGAACAGTGTAATTTAGCATGTCTAACAAAGCCTTTTATGTAACAGTCTTATCTCACTGTATAAATACAAATCACCTATTCAAGTTCTAATACAGGTTTCTGGCTCCTTCTGCCTCCTCTCAAGCAGATTTTGGTGCTCACAGTTCTGGTCTTGGAATAATGTGCCACATCAGCTCTATTTTCCCTGGCACAAGGAAGTTACAACTCCATAGTAATCTTTCCCCACTTTTGTATGAGGAGCCAAGACTGCTCTTTGCTCATTACCCATAATTTAGGGTCAAACTTTTGGCATGGAGATGCTGCAAAACCAGCTCGGAGCGGCCTGGATTACACAAATCTGAGTTTACTTGCTGCGCAATATCCTCTGCTCTGAAATTTGGAAGAAATTTCTAGAATTGTTCCTATGAATATTTTTCTTTTTGGGTACATCCTCTGGCTAATCCAAAAATGTGTGTGGTAGGAAATTTAAGTGCTCATATACAAATTAATATTTTTATTAAGCATCTGCTAAATTCCTAACAGACAATGACTTATGGGTATAGAAAATTACTGAGAAAAAAATACAATCCTTGTATCTAGGACTTATAGTTTAATCTTCACAATAAATAAACAAAAAATGACCTGTTTGATAGAACCAGCTCTGGGCTATAGATACATGGCTCCTTTGCAGTGTTCTGCTTTGTGACTAGCCATGTGAACTTCAGCGAGCCACCTTACTTCTCTGTGCTTCTATAAAATGAGCTGGATCACAGGAATTCATTGTTCCTCTAACAAGTTTAAGAACATTAAACTAGATAAGTATCTCCTTTAATTACTTTACGTCCAACTCTTGGATGTCAGAAGAATATCAAGGAGAAAGTGAGAATGAGCAACTATTGATCGTAGATTATTAGAGCTTAAATAAGTCTTTGTATACATCTTGTCCAATACTTTACCTTCAAAAAGAGGAAACTAAGGCACAGAAATGTGAATTTAGTAACCTAAGAGCAGAGTGATAGCTCTAGGTCTCTTGATGGTTTGCTTGATTCTGTTTCTAAGTTACTTCTTAGTCCTCCCAAATGCATAGCTTTATTTTCATCGGGAAGTCCTTTTTGTATTCATCAGGATTCAGTTGTTGTTTTTATTCCTATAGCTCTTTGATATTTAACTAGTTATTAAAAACTTAGAAAGCATGGGACCAGCAAGGCAGAGTACAGTAGTGTTTCAGGAAATAGAAGTAATATTTAAATAGTACCTTTTCATCACCTCTTCCTACCTAGATAGCTATCATCCCTTAGGCAAAAAGCTACTGTTGAGAAGAAAACTATTATAGAAATTTAGATGTTAACATGTTAATTATCTTTGTGAAGAGAGTGCTGCGAGAGGAGATATGTGAAATGATCAATTCATACCTACATAAAGAAACATGATTTATTGGAGGTAGTTATTTGCCAAAGAATCTGAAAGGTTATATTACATTTTAGGAAAGAATAATCACATAAATCTGTATAATTTAGCTAGTAGTGTTCCCAAAAGCAAGTCTGAAAAAATAGTTGTAAAGAGAACTTACAGTTGATTTAGGTCTATAAACTACAAGATGAGCTGATGTACATGAGTGTTCTTGAAGTTTTCTGTACCTTTTAAAATATGTCCTTTCCCTGAACTTCTGTTTAGAAATGGCCCAACAAGGAAAGGAAGGTAGTTAATGTGATCTGAGGATTTTAATATCGTAAGACAGAGTTGGCACATGAGGATGGATACAATTTTTAACACTATACAACTTTCCTTATCTCAGGAGAAATTGCTAAATTTGGGGTAACATTTTTACATTAAAAACTCACTCTTCTTTAAAGGTACTGCTTTTTGCTTAAGTCATAAAATTTCTCAATAAGGATGAGTCTTCTATATTCTCTAAAAACACTTCCATGTGGCAAATATAATAAAGACTATAGAAAATAATTCTCATTGGATTAAAGTTATTTGGAAACAGAAAAACTAGTTAAATAGTCGTATTCGGGGAGAAGTTTCCTACCACTTCATTGGCAGTAGGTTTTACATGTCTTTGATAGTGAGGTGGACTCTAGCACTTAAAGGTTACCCTCTATAGTATTAGAAAAAGAAAAGGAGAAGATTGATTTAACATTCTTTAAAAAAAAAAAAGTAAATAAAACTGCACATGGGTGCCAAAATAATAGAGAAAGGATCCATTTTCTCAACTATAAAAATCATCAAGTTATCAAAGTACAGTGATTACTATTTCATCAAATACATACATATAAAGATGAATATGTGTGTGCATGTATGTACATATAGTATATATACATTATATATGTAGTGGATTCACTCCCCATCCCTTACTTACTCCAGTCCCAACACAAGATCCAAAACTTGAAATTGGTAGAAAGAAAATTAGGATCAAGAAAATGATTTATAAAGGAGTCTATACCTTATTCCCTTTATGCCCTTCACTATTAAGTACATAATAGGCATCCTTTTTGAAACTGATAGACTTTAAACTCAAACCAAATATACATTTGGAGTTAGGTAATATCTGGAATCATAGCACAAGATATTTTTGTATTATATTTAGTACTTGTCAATGTAAGCTCCTCACTGTTGACATCTACTTGAAAAATCCATGTACCTTGGTATTGAGCAAAGGGCATTGGATGGAGTTAACAACAGAATAGAAGGGAGTTTCAAATTTTCTTCTGAAATAGTACAATGAGATTGAAAGGAGTTTCAGAAGAGGACACAAATGTTCATTGAACATCTGCTGGGAGTAATATACATATGCTGTTTCATTTAATATTTATAACAATCTTAGGAAATTTTTCTCATCATCATTTCACATATAAGGAAACTGAGACTCTAACAGGTCTAAAGTCAAAAGTTGTAACTCATATAAAGGTGAAGCAAGTTTGGTTACTATAAATTCCAAAGCTAAGCAGAAGTCCCACAAATTCTAGTCAAGCACCTGGAGGCAAGAAGTAGAAATCAACAGAAAAGTTGAAATGACTGAAGCTAGAACTGAGCAGCAAGATTTTATTTTGCCATTGGGTATAGCATGCAAATGTATAAAGGAATAGGCCCATGTTTTCACGTGTGTGTTATATTTTAAAGATGTCCACCAGTAACTGTTTCTTGGCACAATGTAAGTTACCAGAATGTGTTTACAAGCCATTTTTTGAATTGCATAATTCTTTTAGAAATGAGAATAATAAGGAATACTCAAATAATTCCTTTCAGCCTTTAAAATGATCAAAATGGAAAAATACTCCTACGTATATTTTTAAAGTAAGAGATTGGCTAAAGAATATAGTTCATTTGATACACCTGGGTGGCTCAGCACCTGAGCGTCTTCCTTTGGCTTAGGGCATGATCCTAGGTCCTGGGATCAAGACCCACATTGGGCTCCCTACTGGGAGTCTGCTTCTCCCTCTGCCTACATCCCTGCCTCTCTCTGAGTCTCTCATGAATAAATAAATAAAATCTTTAAGAAAAAAAAGACTATAGTTCATTCATAAAATTCATTTGCTAGAACTAGGCATTTATTTTTCTGTGTATAAACTAAAAGTTGAGATGGGAACTGCTTACCCTCTTTTCCTTGATTTAAAAGGGGAAGGAAGGATGGATAGATAGATGATGATAGATGATAGATGATAGATAGATAGATAATAGATAGATAATGACTTCGGATACTAATTAAGAAAATCTATTCTGATTTTAATTTCATTTCACCAGAAACAAAGGTGTGGATTTCATACCAACATTCAGTGTTCCTTTAACACCAACTAAAGCCACTCTGTAAAATCTTCTATTAAAAAGAGAGACTATATTTTTCTTCTAGCTAACAAATAGAGCTCTACATTCTTCCTATCTGTAAAATGAGTTATAATAGTACTCTTGAGATATAGGAAAACTCCTCCATCTATGTCATAATATTATTAGGTAGTTTTGGTCGTTTTAAAATATGTTCATAAATTGTTTTATACTGCTCTCTTCAAAAGGTGGGTCATAATGCCCCTCTCCTTAGTATGAGCTAGATGTAATAACTCGTTATATAACAAATAGAATAAGGTAGAAATGATGGCATATGACTTATGAGACTGTCTTAAAAGGCATCATGGTTTCCTTCTTACTCTATGCCTTGGATCGCTCGTTCTGGGGGAAGCCAAATGCCACACTATGATATACTCAAGCAGCCATATGGAAAGGCCAACAAGATGAGGTACTGATTCCTCCAAACAGCCACCAGCAAAGAGCAGAAACCCCTGCCGGATAGTAGGAAGAGGGAATTTGAAAACAGATAACTAATACAGTAGCAAAGTTATACAATGGATAAGAAAGTACTTGAAGATAAGAATGATGCACACTATAATTTGTTCATTTTTATATTCCATCATAAAAACTACCTACTTCTCAGTTGACACTTGCAAGTACTATTTAAACAATCTGTCATCTTGGCCTGTTTTTTTTTTTTTTTTCCTGCCTTACAGTTTGTTCACACCTCTGTTTAGAACCACCTCAAACTGTCTGATGAAACCTAATGAGGGGACCCGCCTCTCCCATCATTAACAGATCACAGCATAACCCTGCAGGACTCTCCCCCATCACCTAGTGTCAGGAGACCTCAGTGCCGCTCACCAAAAAGCAGTCCCACTTTGATCTGATGTGAGTGTTTTTCCCAACAAAGGTGCGCTGCATTAGATACAGTGTTAAGTCTGTATGTTGCCAATGGGCTGTATGTAGCCAAGAAGTTCTTTTTTGTTATTAATCCAATTTTCACATTAAGGACTAAATGACTGACTCTCAACTCTAGATACTGCTTACGCTGGAGGAGACTAGTCTAGATTACACCGTCAGGGCTAGATTGAGACACTAACTCTGTGGGCAAGATGTGGTTTAATATCTTAGAGCAATTCGGGCTCGACACTGGCAAACGTGGCAGTTACACGAATAAAGTGTATCTCTGAGGAAAACGTTCAGCTTTGAGGAACAGAAAACCCTACCATAGTGGCTTAAACAAGTGTGGGGCTTATGATTCCCCACAGCAAGAAGTCCAAATATAGGCAGTCCAGTGCTGATGCGGTGACCCAAGAATGTCTCTGATGAATCAGGCTCCATGCCTTTGCCTGCTCCAGCATTCTTAAGATGTGCTTTTTGTCCTATGATGGAAGGACAGCTGCTAATTCAGCAGACACCATGTCCCAGCTTCCAGCAGGGAGAGAACAAAGGACAAAACTTGCTCCTTGCAAGGCCTTGCTAACTCTCCTCCCCCTTGCCCCACCAAAAAGAAAACCCTCTTCAGGCATTTCTCACTACAATGCACTGGTCGGAACTGGATCCCACAACCACCCTAACTACAGGGGAGGCTGAGAATTCAAATATGTAAGCTTTGCAGTCTCCACAGAAAAGTACATCAAAAAAGAAATTGGTTGAAATGGGGGTAAGACCATCTAACCCTTAGAAGGGAACCTAACCCACGCTCACATACACACACATATTTTAAAAGATTAATTCACTCAGCAACACTTTTTCCATTGAAGGAGCTTAGGAAGAGAAGGTTTTGGCGCAGTCCTGGGTGGGGGTGCTTGACAGTGCTTAATATCACCAGCACTGAAAGTAATAAATGTTATCCCTCTTTTCTATCATGAATATGAATGACGCTCTGAAGGCTGAAAGCAACCTAAGAATTTACGTGAGAAATGAGGCATGAAACATTTTTGAAAATATATTAGCCCAAAGTCTGTATTACTGCATATTTTATACCCTTTTCAATATGCTACAAAAGGTCTGAGCCATCAACTGAATGCTGCCAGAAAAGAACAAATAAGAACAAGGATACAAAAATAAATGCTGGAGTCAAGTTACCCCAAGATGTTCTTTATGGTCGGTATAATGATCACAGTACCAGGCAGTTGGCTTTGCTTCAAGCTCTCCCCCAGCGGCAATTGTCCTGCAAGGTGGGTTCTCCAGCAGGTTTCTTCCAGGACAAGTAGTCAGAAATATTCATGGCACTAAGCCGGTATTGGAGAGAGAATCCCATAAACACTTCCCACCCCTACCCCCTGCTATGTGGTTCCTTGCATTTTCTTCTATGCCTGAGATCTTTCCTCTTATTTTGAAAACATGAAGGAAACATATCTAGTTGAGAATTTCCTGATTGGTAATTCAGTTAATGTTTACATTTTGTATTATGAATGTTTTTATCACCCAAAATATATTTTGCAGACACAGTCCTGTGATACTTATAATTATGAATATATTTTACATCCTATGAACTTTATCCCATGTTAATGATATTCAGTAGAATAGCCAGCCATATGAAAATATTTACCCTGTTGAGATATTATTCATCATTTTAATCCTTTCTACTTTTACATGATTTTAAAAAGTTCCACAATGAATATCAATCATTCTCACAATATGAAATAAAAACTAACTTTTCTGTGAGGCTACTGTCTTCCCAGACCAGACCAGATATGAGCCAAGTTTGGGCTTGTAAAATGGAATTACATGGAGCACCATATCTGTAGACAGTGCCCATCAACTGTCTGGATGCCATAGTCTCATAGTTTTTGTACTTAGCATCATCAGTTCACTCATAAATAGGGAGAGGGGGAGGGAGAATCCTAAGCAGCAAGGAGCCCATGGGCGGCTCCATCTCATGACCCTGAGGTCATGACCTGAGCCAAAATCAAGAGTCGGGTGCTTAACTGACTTAGCCACCCTGGTGCCCCCTAGTCCCCTCATTGTCATACATACAGTTCCCACACCACAACTGGAGAAACATGGCTCTGTTGAGTCATTTGCTCCCATGATGAGAGGTGCACTCTATGCCAAAGTCCATTCTTACAGATACCGCCCATAAGCCAGTCTGCCTCTTCATACCAGACAGTGGTTCCCTCTCTGCCTCATCTTTCAAAGGGTAAAGTGCTCTTACTTTTCATCAGTCACAAGGAGTTAATAGGTTAATAATTTGCATGACACTTCTTAATAATATTTCATTACACAATTCTGTCATACAGAAAAAGTGTTTCCTAAGTAGTTAAGTTCAATTGAATGCCCTTCGTGTATAAGAGAGACATTAAAGATAGATAAGACCAACCTGCACTCCCAAATGAAGATTTCTAGATTAGATATCTCCTGCTTGTCTGTCACTGTTTATGAATTCCCCAAACTGATCTTCAATGATAAACTACATAGTACAAGTGAATGGTTACTATTCTAGAAGGATCATTTCTTAGCCAATGAAAATGCCAGAAAGATTGGCGTAGTAAAGATTTACCTTTAACCCTTTTCTTCTAAGAAGGTTAACATCTCAGATATGGTTCAATTTTTCTCCTAAAAACCTAAAGAAGGACTTCTTTTGGCACAGCACATGTCTGGGGAGCTCTTACTGTAAATCGGCCGTCATTTTTCCCCTGGCTATCAGACAATGTTTCACTTACATGCTATATCTGAGGCCTCATCTAAATTTAGGAGAATGAGACTGCATATTTCAGAAATAATTGGCCAGCTGTGCTCATGAAAGTGTCATCAAGCCCTTGCAAAGAGTAAAAGGAGGAGGAATGGGAGGGAGAAGAGAAGAGAGGAGCCTCAGGGACAGGGGCAGTTGAATTTTTTTAAAGCATCTGCTGAATGCCAGCCATGAAACTAAGTGCTTTAATAAAGTATCTCACTTAATCTCTCATGCCAGCCATGTGATAAAGGTTCTTATAGACCGATTTTTCAGATCGTGAAAACTGAGGTAGAGAGAGAGATTATGTAAATTACCCCAAATCACGGAGGTACTAAGGGCCAAACTAAGATTTAGAGCTCTGTTGCCAGAGCTCTCCACTATGCCCTGCAGGAGAACTCACTGGTTGAAGGCACTCACACCATGTGCTCAGCTCCCTCAGGAGTGCACTACTATTGCTCTGGCGGCCTCAGAACAGCCCCAACAGAGAAACTGTGGCTGATCACAAGTTATGGTCCACTGTCTAATCCATTGGAAGGCCTCTGACAGCCTCAGAAATCAGGCTGGATTTAGGAATGTGAGCTGCCTTTCCTCACCAAATAGCCCCTCATGGTTCAGATACTGTGTTCTGTCTTCCTGTTGATCAGGCTACTGCCCCAAGGAAGGCCAGTTCTAAATTTTCTAATAAAACTACCAGAATGATTAAAGAGAATCCCATGGCTGTCAGAAAAAATATCAAAAATTAGTATGATGCTTGAGTTGGCCCTATTGACTCATATACTATTTTTCATTACAGGGTGAATAGCAACTATTTGGCTGTTAATTAATGTTATGTTATTATTATTAGGGAGGCCCAAGGTTCAGACATTCTTAATTACCTGAACTCCTGGGCTAATTAATGCAATTTATAATAGTATATGTTTTTATATCAAATGTAAAAACACGAGGGGCGTGCCCCTCATTGAAGGTTGTCAGATAGTTCTAAGCACTTAACATAGGTCTTGTCAGAGAAAATCCCAGGACATTAATTTAACAGGCTCAGAGTTACTTATCAAAAGGCTGTAGAACATAATGTTTTGCATAATCAAAATGGTTTATTAATTCAAGTCATCATTTGATTTTTTCACTTATATTCCAATTCACAGAGATGTAAGCATATCAATTACAAAACAACCTACAATATCTAAATGCAAAATAGCTACAAGACTAAGTATTGTACACTACATCTAGAATATTACAGAGCTCAATAAAAAGATGATTTTCACAAAACACCACGCCAAGTGTTGAGTATTCACATTACCTGACAGGAAATGCCTTGTGTTTTTTTTTTCCTTGAAAAGTATGTATTTTATTACTCAAAAGAAAATCATCTTCAGTTAGATCTATGAAAAGAGATTAATGTCATATGTAGATTATCAGAAATTACAGGATTTAAGAGTTAAAGTGCCACTTAATACACATTATTTTCATTAATCTATTAAAGTACTGTATTGTATTGCCTAGATTACAAATCTTTACTTTCTTAAAGATATGTTATTCTCACAAGAAACAGATCAAAATAAAATATAAATTTAATGAAATAAAAATGAAGAATGCCATTGGCCAGCTGAGTATCTGAGCAAGGCATGGAACCTCTCTGGGACTCAGTTTCCCCTCTCAGTAATGAAAGAGTAGCATACGAGCTACAAAAGCCATGTCTAACTCCCAAACGTTATGATTCCATGATGTTATCACCTCAGCTGATTCTGTAAAACTAAGTTCTCCCCCCTGGACATTTTGAGCTTCATTGGCTTATGTCTTCTCAACATGGATTATTTAGGTTGAAATTGTTCTAGGCGTGCTTTAGTAAAAGGCTTGGAATATGGCATCCATTTGCTTGCAGCTACATGAAATCTTTCGAAAAGTAGTAGCATTTCCCTTGCAGTCATTGGAAAAGGGTTTCCATTTATGTAAATCTGAAATGTACATGTGCTAAAAGAGGACAGAATTTTAAGGTTCACTTAATCCAAGCCCTTTAGTTTACAGGCGAGGATACTGAGCCTGCAGATATCACTGGGCCACCAAGCCTGAAGGCTTTACTTGTAATCACTACTTTAGTTTCCTGCTATTTGTCAGTCTCAGATTCTACAGGGGGTGAGGTGTGAGGGGTTGCGGGCAAGGCCTACCCTCCATGCACAGTGAAATACAGAGGGGATTTTTCCTGCAAATCTCTATTTTAGCAATAGTGAAAAGATATTTTAAATTCACAGCTCAGTCTTAGAGTTATTTATATCATTAACAATATTTAAAATCAGAGTAATCACACAAGATTCCGGAAAATACTTAAATTTTAAAATAAGCTGGTTTTGCGATCTGACTCTGGGCAACTAGATCTTGCATTACAGGGTCAGGATGCAAGAAGCAGTTTGTGCAACCATTTTTGTTTAAGTTTTTGTATTTAGGAGAAAAATTCTCATCTCTGTTCCTTCATTCCTCATCTCTTCCCTTTTTTGATTCCTTTACCATGAAATTTGGAGAACACCCTTTGGGTAGAGGAAAAGAACAGTAAAGTGGTCACCTGTGCTCTAGAATCTGGAAGCAGCTGAGCATATGCACCATGCTTTACATCACTTAAATAGCAATGCAAATTATAAAATGAGTGATTCGAATGCTACTATGGGGAGAGAGCACTATGACTCAGGCTGCTCCTGGGAGAGGTATGACCCCAGAGGAAGCTAGAAGAGTGGATATAGTTTGGTAAGGGAGAAGAAAAGGAAAAATAAAAATACAGCGGCAATGTGACAAACACTAGCCTACTGTGTGGAATAAGTGGAATACATTTAATGAAGTGTAGAGATTGATATTGGTCAAATGACAATTCTGAAGATAGCGTTGGGGGACGTAGGGCTGGAAGGGTGAATAAAGTGAAATTTTAAGGGCACATGAGTACCAGGTAGAGGGATTTGGACATAACCTACTAGACTAGTGTTGCAAATATAAATATATCTGCAGGATAAAAGCAACTTAACTAAATGCAGTCAAATAAGCAACTTAACTAAATGAGGTGATTTTGTCAGGGAGGTAATAGAAGATTTGTGGTGAGTGATGGGTCACCATTGCTAAAAGGGCAGTCATTGCTCTCATCTTTTCCCAACCAAAATCACCTCAGACTTTGAGCCCAGGATTGTTGGTTTCCCTCATCGTTTTCAGGAAACTATGAATATATTGATATTAATGTAAAATTTCCTGATTTTTAAAGTATCTTATAGTCCAAGGAAGCTTTTTCTCAGAATAAATTAGGTTACAGAGCTACCAGTATGTGGCCTCTGCTGTAGAAAATGGAGGACCTTCCAGAGTCTTGGAGTAAGGAAGAGACATCAGAAAAATGGTATTTTATGGAGAGTAGCTGATTATTTTGTGGTCTTATACATTTTTACTTATTTGTAATCTCCTAAATATTGTCCAATGAGAGATTATTTGTAAAAACAGAAGCAATTTGGTCTTAAGTAGCAACAGAGTTGCAATAGTTGAATTAGGCAATATGCAGTTGTGCTTTCCATAGATGGCCACAGAAATCTCTCTCACACCACATGTTCTGCAATGTGAACTTGGCATGCCTCCATCCAGAAATAGAGTTCAATTCTCCTCTTATTGAACTGAGCTGATCTTAGTAACTCACTTGTCACAGGACAATGAAGTGGAAATGATGCTTTGTGACCCCCCAACACTAGGTCAGAAGAAGCCTTACAGTTTCTGTCTTGATCATTTGGGATGCTCACTCTCCAGACACTTCCCCCCACGATATGCGAAGCTCCCTCTTGTGTTTCTTTCTCTTGCAACCCAGCCCTTGGCATAGGAAGGAGCTCACATCACTTGGAGAGGGCACATACTGGTCTCCAGTTGAAAGTCTCCACTGAGCCCAGCCTGCAAGTTATCCCAGAACAGGTGCCAAATACCTACATGAAAAGGTCTCTAGATGATTCAAGCCACCAGATATTTAAGTCCTCCCAGTCAATAAAGGCTTTCCAGAAGAAGCCTCAGATACCATGAAGCACTGCCCTGAATGAATTCTTGGCCCACAAAATCCACGAGCCTGACAAAATATTTGATTCCATTAAATTTGAGGGTGATTTGTTTGCAGCAACAAGATGATCGGAACGTTCATGCACTGCATAAGTGAGTCACAAATGACAGTGTACATAGGAATGCACCATTCCACATAAACATTCAGATTCCAACTGCCCCTCAGATTAGGTACAAGAGCAATATTTCTAATCAGCTTTTAAGTTATTCTAATGAAGATAACTTCTGACCATACTCAGGTAACTATAATCCTAGGAAGAACTCCTACAGAACTAAAGGGAGATTCATTTGTACAAAACACTAGGAGGCTGAGTGTTATCACTCAATTCAGAAAGCCCTCCTTGGAAGAGGCCCACTCAAACGCAGCCTTTGCTCAGGGAGTTTATTTCCACATGATAAGCAGATATTCAGGTGTGAAATAGGGCTTCTCCTGGTTACTCTTCATGCAACTCAGTCTAACTAGAGTTGAATTACATGGTCTTGGGAAACAATCTTTAAATTAGACTGTGGTCCCTGAAAATTAAACAAATAGTAAATACATTTGTGACTTTATATATTTGCCATCCTGAAAGTGAGGGTATCAAGCCAAAAAAGAAAGAGAATTCATAATGTCTGGAAAAACCAAACCAAAATATTTATATGCTTACTCTGAAGAGGCTTGCCAAGTAATAGCGACTAGAATTCAGCAAAGAAGATTTCACACCAATGGCAATTCAAATGCTAAACTGGGAAGCCCTCACAGCATCTCTCCTCCAGTGGGATTTTTGATAATGAATCTCATCAAAATCTATGTAAGGAGTACTTATTTTTAAAATAATTTGACAGCAGTATGGGTAAAATTAATATTCCCTTCAATACTAACCATGTTTATTGGCCTTATTCAGCCCCTTACTTCCTTTACTAACAGGCCAATTTTGTGTGTGTGTGTGTGTGTGTGTGTGTGTGTATTTTCTGTTTTATGGAATAGTCTGGCATGGTCACACTGTTCGAAAAATCTCTAAGCAGGTTTTGTTACCTTTTGATAATTTTTTGAAATTTTTGTTTTGCTTTTATTCTTGAACTTTCTGATAAAATATAAAAACTTTGTTCCTGATATTATCTTTACATAAATAAAACTTGATTTTAGGTAAACTCCTATTCACATATTTCAAAGTTTGTTGTTTTTAGGTTTAATTTGCTTTCTTCATAAAAGGAAGGCCAAAATAGGGGCACCTGGGTGGCTCAGTCAGTTGAGCCTCGGCCTTGGTTGGGCTCAGGTCATGATCCCAGGACCCCTGATCAGTGAGTAGCCTGCTTCTCCCTCTCCCTCAGTGGCTGCTGCTCCCCCTGCTTATGCTCTGCCTCTTTCTCTCTCTCAAATAAATAAATAAAATCTTAAAAAAGAAAAAAGCAAATGACAAAAAATTAAGGCCAAAATAAATTTTGAAATCTTAAAATTGGCTTTAATTTAATGTAATGAATATTATGAATATTCGCCTGTTTATGGTGCTAAAAATACAATTAATATGAGTTACAGGCTAATTTCCCTTGCTACCTAAACTGTATCAGAGCTTCAGTCATAAAGTCCTGAGCACTTAATTTATCCCGAATTTATTTTACAGATGTAGTCTCTTTTAACAGCACAGATGGAGGTTTTGATAAAACTCTTCTTAGAAGAAGGAAATGGGAAATGGACTAGATAAACTGAAAATATTATGCTCCTGGCATTCAACTTATTCTGATAAATTTTGTCTTAACTGACATAACATAGTCATGTCATCGAGCTATGAGAATATCTTTATGGATTAAAACACCAGGCATAAATCCTTGATGAACATAACCTGTGGATACTCCTTCCATGGGGTCTCAGTACTCTTTAGGCCTGAAATGCTATTAATATGTGTCATGTAGAAATACTATTTTGAAACAGAAATGGAGAAAAATGGCTATTTATTTATTTATTTGTTTGTTTTTGGTTTTTGAGTTTGTAACAGATTCTTTGGGAGTTAGTACCACTCCTACCATTTAATTCCCTATACATTCCTTCTGTTTTATTGAGGCTGTCTTTAAAATTTCATCATTCGTGTTCAATAAAATAATGGGCTCTGGTGATATTGATGAGGCACCTTCAGGTCTTCCTCTCCCTAAACTTGACAGACTGCCTATCCTCAGACACAGTAAACCTCTTTTAAGTAATTATGCAATTAACGGTTGAAAAGTAGTGTTTAAAATGAGAAAGAAATATTATGGGTTGATGGGTAGGGCACTAATTGCCTAGAAATACTCTGAGCTTTCCAAATGAAGCTACTCCACCCATAAAATTCAAGTCCACAACATGTGGTCCTCCCTTCGCCACGAATTTCTCCCTTCAATTTACAATGACACCGACAGGCTTGGTCTCAGGCCATCAACTCTTCCTCGCACAGCATTAATCCCTAGGAAATGTCCTGTGACTCAGCTGCTACTGCTGGAATGCCAGCTGAAATTTTAGATACACGCACACACACAAATACACACACAAATATGTGGTAGCTCAAGAATCAGAAATACCCAAAGCTGAGAAGTTTCTTTAAAGGCTTTCTTTTTTCTTCTCTGACAAAGAACACATCACTAATCAGAAACACCTCACTGTAAGCCAAGATTTTTTGGCTATACAGTTTAAAAAAAAAATCAGAGAAAGTAGTTTTAGCAAATTGAATTCTTAAGGAAACTTATGACAAAATTTGTAAGTTAAAATAATCTATAGTACAATTATAACTTCTTCATCCATAGATCAATATATGATAAGCTAAAAATCAAATGTGTTTATTAAAGGGATAGAGGGCAGAAGATGTAGATGAATGTTTGACTAATCTACAGAGTGTGAATGAGGATAGCTAGCATCCGTGAGGTAGAGAGTCCAGTCAAAACATGATATTATTAAAACATTTCCTATGTTGTAATTAAAAGAAAATATCTAAATCTCAATATGCTTTACCTATTTACTTATAATAGAGAAAATTATGTTTAAGAATTCAGTTAAAATTATTCACTGAAATGTTACATAATCTCAAACAAATCCGAAATATTTCAAAATAAATTATTTTCATAAGTAATTACTTTGTAAATTACTTATTTAATTAAGAGCACTCTTAAACAAAAGGTAAAATTTGTTTCAAAATTCCTATAATCAAATCACTAAACTAATGATAAAAATGCATTATAATTCCCTTTGTCTCAAGATATTAAAATATTTTTAAAAATTATAAACTCTTAAATAATCAATAACTAACACAATCAATTATTTCATGTTCCAATAACATTAGAGGAAGCATACCAAGTAGATCAACTTTTTATGCTGCTATTCATCTTTGTGAATTCTTAAGACTTAGTGTTTTACTCACTCCCAAAGTTAACTGATTTTAACTTTGAAGTCATTTATTATTATTTAATTTTTCTATACCTGGCTACTAATTTTCACTTCCTGGAAATTTTTAGATTATGAAATGATATAATTTTGTATTAATAATCAAGGTTATTCTTTTATATTTTTAAGAAAAACTTAAATGTTTGAACAACTACTAATATATTGATGTTATTTTAGAGGATTTTTCTATGTGCTGATTTTTAATACATTTTAAAATTCTTATAGACATTAAAGACTTTCAAATATTATTTGCAATTGATTCTTTGCTTCAATAGTCAACCTAAATTTTTTTTTTTTTTTTTACTTTTGGCTAAGGTAGTCCCTTTATTTGTAAATGCACATGCCATGAGACCACAGATTTTATTTATTATTTTAATTTTATTTAAATTAAATTAATTAACATGTAGTGTATTATTGGTTTCAGAGGTAGAGGTCAGTGATTAATCAGTCTTATATAATATCCAATGTTCACTACATCACATACCCTCCATCACCCAGTTACCCCGTCCCCCTGCTTTCATCCCCTCTAGCGACCCCCAGTTTGTTTCTGATGATGTTTTAAAAATTTATATTTAAATAAAATTAACATATAATGTATTATTGGTAAAAAGCATTTGACAAAGTACAGCATCCCTTCTTGATTAAAACGCTTCACAGTGTGGGGATAGAGGGAATATACGTCAATATCATAAAAACCATGTACAAAATGTCCACAATAAATGTGTTCTCAATGGGGAAAAATTGAGATCTTTTCCCCTAAGATCAGGAACATGACAGGTATGTCCATTCTCATCACTGTTCAACATAGTACTAGAAGTCCCACCCTCAGTAATCAGACAACAAAAAGAAATAAAAGGCATCTGAATTGGCAAAGAAGAAGTCAAACTCTCACTCTTTGTAGATGACATGGTACTCCATTTGGAAAACCCAAAAGACTCCAAAATTGCTAGAACTAATAGAGGAACTCAGCAAAATGGTAGAATATAAAATCAACACACAGAAATCAGTTGCATTTCTATACACTAACAATGAGACAGAAGAAAAAGATATTAAGGAGTCAATCCCATTTACAATTGCACCCCAAACCATAAGATAAGTAGGAATAAACCTAATTACAGAGGCAAAAGATCTGTAGTCAGAAAACTATAGACACACTCGTGAAAGAAACTGAAGAAAACACAAAGAAATGGAAAAATGTTCCATGCTCATGGATTAGAAGAATATTGTTAAAAAGTCTATGCTACCTAGAGCAATCTATACATTCAATGCAATCCTATCAAAATACCATCAACTTATTTCACAAAGTTGGAACAAATAATCCTAAAATTTGTATGGAACCAGAAAAGACCCTGAATAGCCAAAAGAACATGGAAAAAGAAAACCAAAATGGTTGGCATCACAATCCTAGACTTCAAGCTCTATCACAAAGCTGTGATCATCAAGACAGTATGGTACTGGCACAAAAACAGACACATAGAGCAATGGAACAGAATAGAGAACACAGAAAAGGACCCTCAACTCTATGGTCAACTAATCTTCTACAAAGCAGGATAGAATATCCAATGGAAAAAAGATAGTCTCTTCAATAAGTGGTGTTGGGAAAATTGGACAGCCACATGCAGAAGAATGAAATTGGACCATTTCCTTAAACCATACACAAAAACAGACTCAAAATGGATGAAAGTCCTAATGTGAGACACGAATCCATCAAAATCCTAGAGGAGAACACAGGCAGCAGCCTCTTTGACCTCGGCAACAGCAACTTCTTGCTAGACACATCTCCAAAGGCAAGGGAAACAAAGGCAAGAATGAACTATTGGGACTTCATCAAGATAAAATGCTTTTGCACAGCAAAGGAAACAGTTAACATGTGACATATCAGATAAAAGGCTAGAATCCAAGATCTATAAAGAACTTATTAAACTCAACACCCAAGGAACAAATAGTCCAATCAAGAAATGGACAAAAGATATGAGCAGACATTTATCCAAAGAAGACATACAAACAGCCAACAGACAAATGAAAAAAAAAATGCTCGACATCACTTGGCACACCACTTGGCAAGGATGCAGAGAAAGGGGAACCCTTGTACACCACGGACAAGAATGCAAGCTGGTATATAAGTTCCTCAAAAAGTTGAAAATAGAGCTACTCTACAACCCAGCAATGGCACTACAGGGTATTTACCCCAAGGATACAAATGTAGTGATCCAAAGGGGCACCTGCACCCCAATGCTCATAGCAGCAATGTCCACAGTAGCCAAACTATGGGAAGAGCCCATATGTCCATCAACAGATGAATGGATAAAGAAGATGTGGTAGATATATACAATAGAATATGACTCAGCCATCAAAAAATGAAATCTTGCCATTTGCAACGATGTGGATAGAACTTGAGGATATTATGCTAAGTGAAATATGTCAATCAGAGAGAGAATTATCATAGATCTCACTCATAGGTGGAATTTAAGAAACAAAACAGAGGATCATGGAGGAAAAAATGAAACAAGATGAAATCAGAAAGTGAGACAAACCATAAGAGACCCTTAATCATAGGAAACAAACTGGGGGTCGCTGGAGGGGGCTTTGGGGTAACTGAGTAACAGTCAACCTAGATTCCACTTCCTTTCTATACATCTATGTGTATTTGTACACACCAATACATGGTATATATCCTATTAATAATATATACTTCCTATTCTAGTTTTTTTTCTTTAGATTTTACTTATTCACAAGAGACACACACAGAGGCAGAGACACAGGCAGAGGGAGAAGCAGGCTCCATGCAGGGAGCCCGATGTGGGATTCGATCTCAGGACTCCAGGATCAGGACCTTAGCCGAAGGCAGAGGCTTACCTGCTGAGCCACCCAGGTGTCCCTGTTTTTTTTTTTTTCCCCTGTTTAAGTAGACCACAATGCCCTGCTTATTTTAAAAGAGAAAGAGATAAAGTTGTCTTACCTGCCCTTTAAACTACTTTGGGAAAATGCTAAGTCAGCTGAACTAAATTTAGCAATTACCTTTTAGCTGACAGTGTCTTCTGATGTGGGAATCATTCTCAGCCTTGCCGGGTTCCTGCCAGATTGTGTCGTTCACTGTTTTCCTTTCTAAAATATAGTAGAGCATTGGTTAGCAGAAATATGTCCAGTAAGTGTAAGAAATATAAAATCAAAACAAGATCAGCACAGAGTTCTAACTTGGTAAGTGATAATCAGAGAGCTCTGCGGTCCATCCTGGAGAGTGTAGTCCCTGACGCAAAACCCCAAGCGTCCTGTGGGCTCCCATTTATTTCTATGAACTACATAAGCACCCAAGCATTTGTGGTAGGATGCTGCAATTGAAATACCTGTTGATAGTTTATGATTACATTGTTCTTGGAAGTATTTTTCCTGAGTTAACCTTTATGATTTTAGGCTTAGTTCAAGTGCTTCCACCCTCCACATTCCTCATCATTTGTAACTAAATGATCACACGTACGGAGAGAAAAATGAGTTGTGATAGTTTCAAGAAACTCTCAAATCTGAGTGGGAGAACAATGACTTGCTCGCCCTTGTCCTCACACCACCTAGAGCAGAACCTGGACATGTGGTGAAGAACAGAACTACACTAAAATGAAGAAATTAAAAAAAAAATTTTTTTTAAATTAAAAAAAAATAAAATGAAGAAATTAGAATCCCTTCTAACCTCCTTACCAAAGAGGATCATTCCACATGTTGTATCATCATATTGATAAAGGAAGATTGAGATTACACATCCAAAGCATCACATGGAAACAAAGCATGCCTGTGTTGGGTTTTTTTTTTTTCAAGATTTTATTTATTTACTCATGAGAGACACACACAGAGAGAGAGAGAGAGAGAGAGAGAGAGAGAGAGAGGCAGAAGCAGGCTTCATGCAGGGAGCCCGATGTGGGACTCGATCCCCAGTCTCCAGGATCACACCCTGGACTGAAGGCAGCGCTAAACCGCTGAGCCACCTGGGCTGCCCACCTATGTTGTTTTTAAAGTCAGTATTTACTCTCATATTTGACTAAAGGAAGGCAGTCAAGCATCAAGAATTATATTAAGATGGAAACATCTATAGCCTTGTGTGTACAAATTGCATAGCAGGCTATGTGAATAAGTGTATACGGAAAATATAACTTTGTCTTACTTCCTTTTACTTAAGATTATGCATTATTTAAATCAGGGCTGATATTCAAAATATTTAACAACTAGCTGCCCACAAGGCCTTAACTAGTGAGATAGTACATAGTCCCTGTGGCTGCTGCCACCTGAAGAATATCAGACCTAATTAAAATGAAGACACTCTTGGAAGATGCATCCATTGTGATCATCACCTTGGTCTGAATGAGCTTTCAGATCCTACTCAGGAGACTGGTTTTTGAAAAGATGACGAAAGGAGTTTGAGCATCCAACTCCTAAATTCTGCTGGAGAGAAAAGGCACGCACGAGTTTGACAAACTGCATTAAAAAATAAATTACTGCCTCTGTCCCTGGGTGGTTCAGTTGGTTAAGTGTCAGCCTTCCACTGAGGTGTTGATTTTGGGATCATGGGATCAAGCCCTGCATTGGGCTCCCTGCTCAGTGGGGAGTCTGCTTCTTCCTCTCCCTCTGCCCCTCCCCCCCATTTGTGCATGCGTGCTCTATCTCTTTCAAATAAATAAACAAAATCTTAAAAAAAATAAATTATTGTTTGAATAATCCAGATGTTTACCACTGTGACTATTTTATAATTAGTGGCACTATATTCTATAAGAGGAAAGACATCCATTAATTTCTAAAAGTAATAGATATTTACTTCAGAATTAAATGCAAATCAAGTCAATTGCCTTTATTATAACTACTATACTGTAATCACAGAAACTAAAGAAAAGATCTGGTGTTTGAAATGCTTAGAAGAATCTTTTGTAATACAACCATTTTTTAATTTCTTTTTTATTCACTGCTGGTTTCATGTATCTGAAAGATACCGAAGAGGTCACCTTGACCATGGTCAGCCAAGCTAAAGTTGGGAAGCCGGAAGATAATCAGCCAATAAACCATCAAAGAGAATTATATTTTTAATGTAAAAGGAAATTATTCTGAATAAATCAATGATTTCTTTGTCTTAGCCATTTACAGTTAGAATGGAACCACCTTCCTTTTAAAAAAATTTCTTCTATAGAATTCAAAGACAATTCAATTTGACTTTCATTAATCACTTATTGTTGCTGTATGGAAATGGCAGAAGAAAAGAAGTTTCAGAGAAACAGAACATATTATCTGCATGAGTAATCTTATGAATTACTAACCAAATCTTTTGTTTTCAGACAGAGATCTCCGGATTGACCTAGAGGAATAAAAGGAACAGATATTTAAGTCTACATCTAGTAAATAATATTTTTAATTAAACAGAAATTAGATTACCTAAACATGCTTGTAATATGTTTCAGAGCAGACATAAATTCTACCTATAACGAAGGTCTATATATAGCCCTGAATTTTCCTGACCCTATATGGCAAGGATAATCTTGGCCTGGAAATTTCCAAGCAATATAGAGAAATTTCCACGCAACATTTATAAACCACCCCCACACACAAAGTGAGCCATTTTTACATGAATGTATCTCAAGATAATCAATAAATAGTTAATGTGGAAAAGCTCTTTTTGGAATAATTCTGTTCAATAAATACAGAAAGAATGATTGAATATAATCACATACAATCCCTAATGAAACAATAGATCTGGGCAATAATCAACAAATGCCGTTAAAAACTTTTCATTGGAAGGCTGAAGGGCAACTTCGTGCTGAATGGATCAGCCTGATGCCATCTGAACCCACTAAGCAAGTTCACAGTCATAAGCATAGAAGACAACCAGATATACAGGTTTCCAAAGTAATGCAACAGGAAGCGTATAGTCACTGATGACCTACTTTTAAAATATATACACATATATCAAACTTAAACATTATCTAGCCTCGAGATCTAACTACAAAATTTACAGAAGCATAGAGGATAGAACATTTTTTTTTAAGAAAAATACCACAAACGATGCAATCAGCAAAATTCCTCAGAACAAACAATCCAGTTTCTTCAGCAAATTAATGGAGAAGGACCTATGAATTAAGAAATGTGAACTGAATGCATTGCAATGGTCCTGTTTGGATCACGATTCAAATTAACTATAAAAAAAAAAAGCACTTGAGGCTATTAGAAAAATTTTAACAGTGACTATATATTTGGTCATATTATACAACTTTTCTTATGTTGTTCTAGTGCAGTGGTGGTAATGTGCTTATGCTTTTTAAAAAAAATACAGTGCTTGCTTTTTAACAATATATATCAAAGCATGAAATTATGTATCTGGGATCTACTCTTAAAAAAATAGTGGGAGTTGGAGGGCTGGGGAGTCAAGTGGGTAGAAATGAAATGAGATAGACTATAGGTTGATACCTGTTCAAGCTTGGTGATATGAGTTCACTATTATCTCCTCCTTTATATATAATTGAAAATTTCCATAATAAAATGTCCAAAACAGAGACGGAAGATAGGACTATGCTGACGCTATCATGATAATTATTTTATGCACTAGGTGAACACATGCGTGTCCTGTACATATAATTAACTTTGTTTGTAACTTGAGTGTTTTCCACTGTTTAATATTCTTGGTACTCATTAAATTAATGCCAAGTTCACCTTTTCTTAAGCTCAGGGTTGTAAGAAAAAAAATCTGCATATATAATTTTTGTCTTTACCATTTTATTTGCGTTTGCTTTTTTCCTTGTTAGTGCAAGTGCTTAGGACACCTCTTGGCAAAGAGTTAGTGTTCCAAAACTATTTATAGTATTGTAAGGTAAGGTAGGTGCAGAAGAGCACGAGATGTTATTCCCTTCAGGGGAGTGGTGGACAAAAGAATCAAGGAAGCCAAGATTCTTCAATTTTATTTTAATGTTTTGGAATCTGAGGAACATGGTAACTGAGTTTGAAAAATCCTGATTCAGTCAGTATCTGGTACTTTTCCCTCTCATTCCTTCCACTCAATATTTTGGCATCCTCTGATCTAGAGAAGCATCAATCATAAGCCAATAGCTCTAATTTCATTTAACTGTTTTATTTGGAATTGGTGAGTTCCTTATCTGTAGATAGAATGAACCGTGACATAGAGCAGTTTTTAAGATTGAGATGAGCCCTGTCAAAAACCTCTTCTTTACTCCAGGTCAGGCTTAAAATGACACTACTGTAAAGAGTCAACTGTGGCTTAAACTACCCTTGCCTGCCAGGTGCTCTAAGCTGTTCCTCATCCAATTAAGTACTATGGGTGTATTTTATATCCTTACTGGGAGAAAGCTTTGAACAGGAAAGGTAGGGGATCCCTGGGTGGCTCAGCGGTTTAGCGCCTGCCTTTGGCCCAGGGCATGATCCTGGAGTCCTGGGATTGAGTCCCACATCAGGCTCCCTGCATAGTGCCTGCTTCTCCCTCTGCCTGTGTCTCTGCCTCTCTCTCTCTCTCTCATGAATAAATAATAAAAAAAATAAAATCTTTGAACAGGAAATGTAGGAAAGGATATGAAAGCACAGAACGCCTTGGGAGCAGGAAAGGAAGACTGTCCAGAAAGGCTACAACCAAAGAGAACTTCATGTATTAACAATTTGGTCTCAGACCATTCCAGAGTGCAAGAAAGCTATTCTGTATCGTCAGTAACCAATCTGGAAATTTCCTCATAAACCAACCTCCGGCCCCTGTGTATTTCCAGCTTGTTAGTTAAAATCCCATTACCTTATGCAACATGTGTGTGCCACATCCTCTGGCAGCTTGATGAGCTATATGTAAAGCCAAGCCTGACCTAAATAACCGAAATCTCTTTACAAACACATTTTTATTTGGATTAGAAGAACCCTTCAGAAGATTAATAGGCCACTGATAGAAGCATGTCTTTGAGTAGGCTCCCACTTTAATCTGAACCTCATTGAAACACATGTTTCTTCTTCTGGAAATTTAATTTTCACATCCCTGTGTACAGAAATGTCACAACACAGGTTTCCTATGCATCAGCATAAACGGATAAATGGTAGCAGAGTAAAACATATCTAGATTTGTACATGACAATTTTTTAAACAGCGCTTTGACAGGAAAACCACTAAAATATTCCATTCGACCTTACAGAACTAACAGAATGTAAAGTTTTCAAAGTAAACTTGACTTACTTTCTTTTTGGTTGTGCATCCTCAAAATTAGAAACTTCCTGAAAAATAAAATACAGAAGAAAATAAAATAATACTACTCTAAGAAATCAGAAGGAAAATTCACGTATGGTACATCTTTGAGTGTGATCCAAATGTATCATTTCCCCCTTCCTAATAAACTGACTGGTGTTTCCCCCTTGTATTTTGGTACGATGTCATAGAATCTCAGTTCAATTTTTTTTTCTTTATTCTTTGTAACTTTGAGAGATGTAGAGTGCTTTCTTTATGAACTAGGGCTTATATCTTATTCCAAGCCCTGGTCAGTTAATAGAGCAAGTCTTTGAAATAAAAAACATGCAATTAAATCCTCATAACTTCAAGTTTTCATTCCCTATCAACCCACCAACGCCAAGGGGGGAGATACACACCAGAGTATGCTAATTACATCACACAGTACTTTCCTTTGAGAAAGTTTAAACTATCACAATGCCTCGAGTATGTTGAAATACACCTGTGATTCATCTGGCCTTTCTCTTCAGAGTAACTGAATGTTGTGCAAAATCCCTAATACTTTTCGGGGAAGAATATGTCGCCACATCTTTCACCATCATTGAAAGAGCTTAAACTGCTCGCTGGCACCTTTAAGAACACTTAAGATTTTCCTGTTATTCGTCTTCTCCTTCATTCAAAACCATTTACATTTTTGATGCTCGGGGTACTTTTTGATTATCTACTATATCATAGGCAACAGACCATGTTGTAGAGAGGTTTGATTGGTGTGGTAGGGATTTGTGTAGTAAAGACTATTGGAACCAATATTCCAGATGGGGGGAAAATAGAAATGCAAAGGTGGGGAAGAATATAAATGAAAATCAGAAAAAGGAAAATTGGTTGATAGTATTAGTCTAAGCACTGCCAAATCCAGGATAACTTTTCCCCTACAAAGTAACTCAAGGGACCCTTTCTCTAACCCTTGTTATGTTTTTGTCAAGATTGAACTCTCAAGGACAATTTAAATTACGTATTTCAAGCTGGTGAGTAGAGTGTCACTGAAAATTCCAGATGCTGACACACTCCATCCCTGAACTTGAGGAACAGTTTTTGCCCAGTTAAGATACCTATGGGTCACCCACGGGACAATGTCTAAACAGGTGGGAGTGGGGGTAAATACTTGAGAATCATGAAGCAAACCCTGAGGTGAGGTGACATATCAGCACATACCACTCCTTCAATTCTCTATGCTTTATCACCATGTGTCCTAAAAAGAACCCAACTCTATCCATGGTCTTTTTGTGAAATTCCTTCAGTATTGGTCTGGATGTCTCCACACCTCAGCCTAGAAGCCAACTGTGTTCCTTTCACCACCATCAGCAACCATACCAGCTTTGTGAGGGTCATCGGGAAAGAGGATGGCCATACATCTTTGTAGTTATATTTTCCTATCACATATATTTGGAATTTAGCTGGGAAGGAACAAGTTCCATGTTCACATAATCTATAAAATCTGGGCCAAATATGTCTCAGTAGTCAGAATTTACTGTTTTGAGTCTAAAGAATTTGTTGTATAGGGTTAGATAAATTTCTTCAGATTGCAAATCTCATAGTCTTCTAAATAGATTCTCCCTATTTTGAGTATAGAGAAAGAGGTGTCTGGTCTAGAGTATAAAAGGTCAACTTGCAATATGAAAGATAGGAAACATTAGATAATGTCTGTATTTTTAATCATACAAGCCACAGTACTTTTGAATTAACTTATATCAGTAATCCATGATCTTGGTTTCTGTTTTACATGGTAAAGTTTATTTTGTGCTGTATGAAAAATGTTACCAAAGAGATTAATTCCAGAGGACTCACAAAACTTGTGTGCAATGGAGCTTTAAGTGTTTGAGTCTGGGATGAGGGGTGTATTATTCAAACACAGTCTTCTGCCTCACTTAGGTGAAGCCTTGGCTAAGTAGGCGTTGGGCTCCGACAAAACTGTTCAAATACATGTGACTGCTGATTATGGTAAAAGAGATACAGTTAGCTCTGGGCTGAGGTATAGAGACATTCGGATCAAGACCAGGGACAAAGATTGGTTATTTTTAGGGTATATTTTGTCACAACATTTTCTAGGGACTATCTACTTTGTTCTGCTTTCCTGGAATCCAGGTTAGCCATTTTTACTTGTAATGAATCACTTTGGTTTGGGAATGTTGTATTACAGAGTTCTCTTATAATGGATACTTTCGAAAAAGATTTTGAAGGGTGCCTGGCTGGCTCAGTAGGAAAAGTACTGATCTTTGAGTTGTGAGTTCAAGCCCCATGTTGCATGTGTAGATTATTTAAATAAATACAACTTGAAAAAGAAAAAGAACAGGATTTTGGGTTAAAACTTCTTTTAATCCCTATTAAGATATAAGAAGTAATGTAGCTTTCCTTTGGCAACCTGCTTCCTCTAAGATGGCAGAGAGAGTCAAGCACATTAAATGTGAGACTGAAGTGTGATTATGTGAGGGGAAGAGATTACTCAAACAGGGCAACAGCTACTTAATTAATAATACGTCTGTTCCCTGGATGTTGCCTAGTGGTAGATTACTACTGAACTGGTTAAGCAATTTTTAGTACTCCTTGTACCAGGCTCAAGGCAGCTGCTTTCCATTCTGACTTCTGCTTACATAAGCAGACTGTTATGTATTGAGTTCAGACCCTGTATTCCTAGAGGAGCAAGTCAAAGAAAGACTAGATGCAGCTTTATTTTTAGAACTACATCTGTGTGTGTATGTGTGTGTGTGTGTGTGTTACTCTGAACTCCAAAAAGAAGATACCATTTCAGCGAGTCGATGAAATGATTCTATCTAGTCCATTAATTTGACACTTGCCATAAATACTAGGCAAAACTTGCTCCTGTTAGCCTTCGTTTCATTATCCCCTAAATCAAGCACTAATCATTAGTCTTACCTTTCATTCACTAGGGAGTTTGTGGCTTAATTTAATTTTTACCCCTGGCAATTGTTAGGAAAATAAAAAATGAAATGTAGGCAAATTATTACAAATGGGCCGGCAGAAACTAAAGAATATGTCCAACATGTGTTATTATTCAAGGCTATGAGAGTAGGCTGTAGGAGTAAAGCATTTTCACATAACTGCAACAAGGTCATATAAGGTCAAATTTAAAAAACAATTGAAAATGAAAAAAGAGAAGAGGACACTTAGAAGAGATTTGGGATACCAAATGCCATATTTCTATTCTCATGCAGTGGTTACGGTTGGCTGTCCTTTGGGGTTGAGTCTAATATGTGTCTGTTTCTTGCATTATTGGTTTTTAAATCTTACTTTCAAATCACAAAGTCAAAAAGGAAAAATGAAGTGAATAGGTCAGGGATTGTTGTTGCCTAACTAATGGAAATGTGAAAGGTGTTTCTGCACCAGAGAAAATTGATTGGCAGTAAGTGATGGTGTAAATCCCACAGTGAACTTTTAAGACTACAGAGATCTGACCTTTGATTTGCAGATGAATAAACTGAGATCCCAAATGGTAAATTGACTTGTCTAGGGTCATGCATATAGTGCTCTACTTTGATTAAATGTTAGTCACTTTTTCATTCTAATATATTCTTTTGGAATTATATAATTCACTCATTCATACATTCATAGTTCAATAAATATTTATTGAGCATGTGCTATGTTTCAGACACTGTTTTAGATGCAAAGAAGAATTACAAGTGGTACTTCTCTCGGGTATTCAACCATCAACGACTGCTAATTTCAGGCTCCTGTTGGAGTCCATGATTTTCCTAACTTTGAAGATTAAATGTGCTAGCCTTTGTAAAATCCTTACACAATGCCAAACACTTTGAAGATACTTATGATGTTATTTTTCATTAAATTAATTATTTATTATTAGTTACATCGAATTTTAATATTGAAGCAAGAGTTGAGCATAAATACAAATACACACACATATATGTGTATGCATACATATAACTTCTCATTAAAATAAGTTAAACCAATTTCTATTTTGTCCAACTGATTCTCTTGAGAGAAGGAGGATGATTCACTTGCATAACTGAAATGGTTTTACTAATATTAAAATACAGCAATTCCAAGAATGCCACATCCAAACTGAATGAGCCTATTTCTGGACATTTCTTAGGTTCCTATGCTTCAGTAAAGTTCCTGCAGATGTTCAAAAAAAGTTAATTTAATGGAAGTTCCTTTAAAAAAAAGTCTCATAGACATCTGGCAAAGAATTATGATGCTTCAAAGTTATTAAAATAGAGTAGTTTTGCAGTACACCTAAAGCCACCAGAGAGAGTGTAACACACACACACACACACACACACACACACACACAAGCTCTGTTCTCAGAGAGGAAGTTTGTGTGACTGGATAACAAACTATCACCCCTGTAAAGGAGTCCTACCGCCCGTGGACTTCTACCTCGCCTCTACGTCTTCCTGCAAATGTGTGTAGAAAAATCTCATGATGGAAAGGTCTCCTAAGTTCTCAAAGAGATCACACAGCAAAGAGGAATATTCGTGAATGTAGCTAGTCTGAACCCAATTGTTAAAGCAGGTTGCTAAGAATGATACGGCTTTAAATCACATTGCTTTTCTATTCCTTGATTTAACATATTTGCAGAATAATAATGGCAGAACACTCATGTACTATCAAGCACAATTCTTAATGCTTTATATATAGTAGTTCACCTAATCTTTACAGCACTCCTATGAGGTGGATACTATTATAATGGAAGATACTATAAATGAGGATACTCCATTTACAGATGGGTAAACTGAGGCACAGAGCAGTTGAGATTCTTGCCTAAGGTCACATAATTAATATGTGGTGAAACTGGTATTTTATGCCTGTCTTAACCATTACACAATGCTACTTCTATACTTGACTGCACAGATACAGAATCTACCTCTCATTTAGGTCAGAGATCTCACAAATGAGCACTATTGGCCAGGGAGAGAGTGGCCATGAAAAAGCAGAGAAAATATAATACTATCTTCCAGTACTAAACAAAGAACTCAGAAAGTACACTCTTATCAAAGCATTAACAAGAATAATT